CACCTTTAAAGTTGTCCAAATGAAGTTCTTAGCAATGCATATTACTAATCAAACATTAAGTTTTGTTATATTTATGGTAGGAAATTTACAAAATATCCTAATGATTTTTGGCATAAAAGAAAAATTGATAATTTTGACCCATACAATGTTTTTTTTAGTTATTACTACAAATATGCCCGTGCTACTTAAGACTGGTTTTGTGCTCCAGGCTCACATATATGAAATAAAAATGCTACTTTTAATTATGAAATTAAAAACGCCAGCAGGTGGTGTAACCATGTAACCATGTGCAGACCGAATTACTTTTTCTTTTTTTTTTCTTTTTTTAAACCTTGGTGTGCTGACAATTACATTAATATTAACCTTACAAAAATGAATTAGCAAGAAAACCAGAAAAACACTACTCTTTGTGAAAACTGCATTTGTTTTTTCAGGTAAAATACTTTTACATAATACTTCGATATTTATTTATTTTTTTTTTTTTAATGTTTTATTTACTATTTTTTATTAGGGATGAACCCATTTTGATTATAGGGCCCTATATAAAAACGAACTCATACTAGGGCCATTTTGCTATATATATTGGATTTCGGGTGCATTGGGTGCAAGAGAATCATCACTAATTGATAAAACACTACCGTGGCACAATTCCATATTGTTTTCAGTCATTAAAAAAGAGGGACGTACTTGACATTAAAGCACTGTTTTTTGGGAGGCAAACGCCAGCGGATTTAAAGTTTGACATCGTTAGTTACAAACATGAGATTAATCATTTATAACCACTTTCATTTAATAACAGACTTAAGCTGAATTTTAAGACAAATAATTAACAGGACAGCTTACATACCTTTATTTTTAAAGTGGTGACATCAATGCATACAGCAAATTTCCTTTTATGCATTTGGTCTGTTTCAAAGTGTTTATATCCAAAAGAAAACATCTGGTAGATTCTCTTAGTTTCTGTATTTGGATGCGCTGTAACTCTGTGCTTGTGCAGCGTCATGAACTGCTCAGACTCAGATCACTGGTGCTGCTGATCATGTGTCTTGCGTTTTGTTTACCAATATAAGTTGCAGAGATGGGGTTGGTGTCATGTAGACCACAGCACTAAACCTGAAACTATCTGTAGATGGTGGTCTGAGTTTGCTTTCATGGTATGCATGAACATTTTATTCGGCTGCACCTTGTTCAGGTAATAAAATGTAGTTCAGGAACAGTCGCACAGTGATCGTGGCTAGTGTGAAAAGACACACACACACCCAATATCAAAAACAGAGCCATACTTACTGCAGTTTGTGAAATCCTGAAATGGGCTTCTGTGGAAAAGAGGACACATTACTGAGATGAGGCTTGTTATATTCATAAATGTTTTTTGTTGTTGTTGTTGTTGTTAAGGCGAGACACTGCAGGTGAATAGGTAAAAAAAAAACAACTAATAGTTATCGCCTTACCCAGCTGATTGATTACACAGATAATTGCAAAAAAAAATTTTGTATTACAAGTTTTCTAAAATGCTAGGTTTAAATATGCAAATGAGTCATTATTTAATGAAATATGTGCTAATTTGCATAAATATCTAGTACAAAAATCTAAACACTGGATGAAGTCTTGTTTAATTTTTTTGACATATTAGAGTCAAAAGTGTTTACAGAGGGAATTTTGGGTATCTCGTTTTTGTCACTCCATAATTCAGAAAATGCTTAGAACGGACAGAAAACAAGTCCAAAAGAAGTTAAATAAAAACCGTCCATCCATAAAAAATGTCTCACACGGCTCCAAAAGGCTTCCTGTAGCGAATCGATGTGTTTTTGTAAGAAAAATATCCATATTCAAAACGTAATAATCACTTTAATCTATATACACTTAGGATGACTTGAGGGTGAGTAATTTATGGGCTAATTTTCATTTTTGGGTGAACTAACACTTTAAGTGAATCATGCGGTGTGGTTTTAAGCTGTGTGGGTGTGGGAAGTTATGCTAATGTTTCAGTGGTAGAAAATAAGGAAATGAGTAGACATCTACAAAAAGGGGTGCATGTGGTCGAGCAGGTAAAGCGATGCAAAGTTTTTCAGTGGTTATGAGGTTTCAAAATGATTGTAGGCACCATGTGCAATCTGCAAGTCAAGCATCACTATTACCAGTGCTTAAAATGATTTTAACAAACCTCAAAAACTACGTATAAAACTTTAGTGTTGTAACTCATTTTGTAGATCACAGAGACTCAAACCAGCATGAAACCACTTCACAATTACCCATAACACTCCAGCATCACTGCTAGGGCTGAACGATTAATTGCATTTGTAATAATATCGCGATATGAAAAAACACGATTTTTCAGTTGCAGAGGCTGCGATTATACTCGGTCACATGACACGCTAGAGTAAAGAGGTGTGTTCGACTTGAAGATCGATTGGTGTATGACATCAAAGTACGGAGAGAGAAAGCATAAGGAGACGTCCGCGCTCTCTGAAAGAGAAGAGAAAAGCCATAGATGAAGTCGCACAGATCCAGGCAGGTCATTCAAAAGCTAAATGCAGAAAATATGACGAGGCATATCTTGCTCTCGGCTTCACTTCCCATGTCTATACCGGACGCTACAGTTGACGCGTCGCGCCGCAACAGCTCTACACTGGACGCGACAAAGCGACCATTGCAAATCATTTTAACTTTGTGTCAGTACGTCATAAATAGAACGAGGCATCCGTTTAATGTGAAGTCGCATCCAGTGTAGACAGCGTCACTGATTATAATGGGTTCTAC